GGCCCGAGAGGAGAACCAACAGAATTTTTGATTGATGTCCTTGACAGTCAAACGCTCGCCTAAACGGCTGCAATAAAAAATTTACCACGTTTGGGGCACAGCGGGCGGTACGTTGGCGCCAGTGATATATTTCACCCTTCGCTGATATGACTGCGAAGCATCGGCCACAAGCCGAGCGGTCAGAAGAACTCCGAACTGGCCTGAGAATCTCTGAGACAGAGACAGAGACAGAGACAGAGATGGAGATGGAGACAAAGACGGAGGCGACATTCGCTGCACTGCGAGCGCAGCCAGAGACAAGCAAACGAATTGAAAACGGAATATAAAAAGTTGGAAATGTTAAAATTTAATTATGGGTTCAGTTTTTGGGCTCTCAGCCAGATCACATGAATACATTCACACATATATGTGTGTATGTATACCACACCAATATCGAGACAATAAAACACAGTGTGCGAGTGGAGAAAAGTCAACAGAAATTTGTTTTTAATTTACAATTTAATATGCGTTATAAAAAATTGGTCTCAATGACGAGTTATAAATATTTATGAAGGCAGCGCCAGAAAGGCAACGGCTGAGGGATACCAGCACGAGTATTTTGTTTCACTCACAATTTACGAATGCTCTACAGGATCTACATTGATCAGATTGTGTGTTGGAAATATAACTTAATGGATAAGATTAAACTGAAGCTGACATATGTCAATATATGATGTAAAAGATATTGAAAGAACAAGCCGAAATTTATGTAAAGGAATATATCATTATAGTAATTTTAGATATCAGAAAATATGAAGAAATAAAAAATAAATGTCACAACAGCTTTTCTAATAAAATGTACTAACTTTTAACTAAAACAAATAGTAAATAAATAAAATAATAATTTAATATTGTTAGTATATAGAAATAAAAGCAAAACTAGTTGCCATAGCTAAATCCAATTAGCTATAATTAGCAAAAAGTTTTCGATTCGTTTCAAAATTCTTGTTATAACGAGAATGCCCCACTCGAAGATTTCTCACATGCAAGTGGACACACTCCAAATTATTTGTCAAACATTTTCGTCTCGACCCGTTCCAAATACTAATGCCACACACACACAGAGAGAGACACACACACACACAGACACAGATCACACATCGTGGGGCTATCCTAACTCGCCAAATTGCTGTCCGCCTAAATTGCCAAACTTGGTGCCACTTGGAGTCATCAGTTCCATGCGAATGTGGATGTCGACTCGTCGACTGTTTTGACATCTTGGGGCGTCCGTTGTCGCCACGTTAGCGGGGCAGGGACCGCCACTCCGCCACTGCGACTGCGCCTCATTATTTATTATGAATTCTATAAATATTAATGGATTTTTAAATGCAATTATAACAACTAATTAATAATGTGCATTTTAAATCGTCCCGGGCGAGCGAACACGGTCTGCGCCACCGTCTCCATTGGAGCATTTGACGTATTACCTGACGTATTTATTGCATGTTTTCTCGCTTCGACTTTGGTACTTTGTGTGTTCGTTGGGCTCTACTCTAATGGAGAGTAATGCAAACATATCATACATTATGTAACATTAGCTCTCTTTCTCTTTCTCCCTTTTAGTGAGATGAAGTTCCTATTTCATCTTTCTATTTATAGTATTTTTTTAATGAGACTATTACTAATAGGTTATTTTCTAAATCTTTAAGACATTGATAGCCCATATCCAATGATCCAGTGTATAGATCATCATAGCTTTAATCCATTTATTACTTTAAGCTTCTTCTTATTAAGACATCTAAAAAAATAATCAATTATAAAATATATCTATATCTATAAAATATATCTATTCTTATCAAAGAAAATATTTACTAAAGTTCTGTAAATCTTTATGATTTCTAATTTGCAGAGTATTTGTCATTCGGCTGCTAGAAAGTCTTTTGCGGTTTTTTATTCATTTGCTGCTGTTATGAAATGGGCAGCAAGTCCAAATGGAGGTGCGCGAAAAAATTAAACGAGAATGTCTGACAGAATTTATTTTAATTAGTGCGATGAAGTTGTGAGTGGCATGCTAAATGAGGGGCAGCCCAACTGGCTGGGCATTCGCGATCAGCTCATGGCCGATCGGGTCCATGCAAAGCGACTGCCAAATGGCCAATGGCAATCGTTGATCAATGACAAACTCAAGCGGATCGCAGCCGCCCTAGACTGACACAAAGATCACAGAGTGGAAGGCCGCCAGATGCTCTACATAGAGCAGGAAGAGGCAATAAACGATCGCATGGGCATTTGCTTGGCAAAGATCGCGATCGCGATCGCAAACGCGTTTGCTATTGAGATCGAGTTTGAGATTGAGTGAGATCCCGTATCGATTACATAGATCGACTTCTGTGCTCAGGTCAATTGCCGCTAGGCCAACGCAAAGGGAAGCCGCCTGCGCCTGCGCCTGCCCCTGCGTCGAGTCGGTCGTGTCGCGACGTTGTAATCGATATGGCGAAACGCTGGGAATCGATACCACAGCCCGGAGAATGTATCTTAAGTAGCAATGTAATGTGTCCAGATGCCGAACTGCTGATAAGAGCGCCCTGGTGGCGACGTCTAGATGATCGCTGCGATCAGCAGTAGCCTCATCTCTCTCGGGCCACGGCACTTGTGGGCGCCTGGCCATAATGCATCTAACAGATACTTATGGATTGCTGATCTTGTGACAGGCTCTGTCCGGGGTAGCCAGCTAAAGTGGAGCCTCACAACGTGAGAATCACAAATATGTAAAGAAGTGGAAAGGAAAAGGAAGGTAGAGGAACAGAGAGAGAGGGAGGGGGCCATTTCTATTGGGAAAAGGTTGCAGCGATCGATCGAGCGATCCAACGATCGAAGCAAACATCTTAACAAATTATAATGCTCGGCACTGGGTCGAGCGGTGGCTCGGTGGCTCGGTGGCTCATCGTTAAGTATCTCAACTAGTAGCCGCTAGGCAGCCACGAGAAGTGATCATCTCAACGACAGTCCATCGATCATTCAAAATCGAGTCTGACCCATGCTGGTGTTGCTTTTTCAGATTCTTCTCTATTTTGTTTTATTTATTTTTATTTTTTTGGCTACACTTTTTTCGTCTTTTAGCGTTAGCGTGGTAGAAAGCGTGATGGAAAATTAAATCATCGTCGGTTGGCTTGGGTCTTCTGGGCTGATGCTGTTGTTGTTGTTGTTGTTGTATTTTATCTTCAGTTGCCCTAATGATGCCCAACGCACCTTGAGCTGCAGCTTAGTATTTACCCAAAGATCTCTATCAGCGAGTTAACTCGTTTAGCATTTAGTTGCAGGCGCCTAAAACACAGAGACGTAGACGTCGACGTCCACTGAGACTGGGTCTGGGACTGGAACTGACGACTTATCGCATAGTTTGCATCTTTATGCTTGTTTTTCTCAGGATTCGGGGCTGGGCAACGCCTCACAGTGCGGCTTATTAGGCGCAGACAGTGTCGTTTATATCATTTATATTATTTTATGATGCTCTTTTTGTTGTTTTCATAAATTATGTGTAACTTGTTGTAGTACAATATATATTGATGCTCCAACGGACAGGTTGTCCAGGTGCAGGTGACAATCCAGAGCCACGGCCTTTCTCTGCGCATGGGTTAATTAGGGTTATCCATGATTTATTGATATGTTGTGCCCTCCAGGGGCAGAATCAAATGCAACCTGTCTGCCCATTGATTATGGCTCCAATAACCACAATGTTGATGGTCTTTTAATAAATGCATTTCGTTAGCTATTTATGCATGTCTACATATGTTATGTATATACATTCGAGTCTTTTAATTAGCCCTCAGATTTAACATGGTCTGTCCGCAGTCAATGTGGGCTGTCGCCCGCAGCAGCCGAGCTGTGGAGCTGTGCTGCTGATTGCCTCTTCGACAGCCAATTGGCTGATGGCTAACGGTAGCTGCGTCAAATCTCTTATCACAGCCAAACACATGTCGCCAGGCAGCTACTGTCCGAGTGCAGATGCAGAGTCGGCAGATAGCCACACTCAAAGGACTGCAGGATCTTTGCCTCTGGCGCCAAGCGCTCCTTAAAAGTGCCCGCTGCCAGCCACTTGTCGCGTCGCGCGACAAAGGACAATAGAATATTATTGCTTCAATTGGCAGCCGCTCACGTCCCATGTCCCACGTCCCACGTCTCTTTGTCAGGTACGAGCCCGCAGAACATCTCAAGTTGATTTGGACGAGAACGAGAAATCGCCCGGCTACAGCTTAGTTCACACCATGGCCTCTGTCCGCTCTGTGGGCGTTGTCACTGTCGCGTCGACGACCTTGCCCACTTTGCCTTGCCGATTGCACCGTTTAGTGACGCAATTACACCTGACTCAACTGGTCTATCCGGCTGATAAGCCATAAAAGTGCCTGCAGCAGCCCAGCTGCTCAGCTGCCCAGCATCCAGTAGTCCAGTCGACTGTCTGGGCCTTTTGTTCCCGTTTGCCGATATTCTTTGTCGGTTCGCGCTGCAAGCAGGCGTGAAACGATTCGATTTCATATCTTTTGTTCGCCTCCCTTTGTGTTTTTGTCAAATAAAGTTTGCGCTGGCTATTTGTACAAATATTTTACGATGCACTGGCGCCCGCTTTGGGTTCCATTGGCAGCCAACATACATCTGCCGCAGTCTGGGAGTGAATCCGAGTCTGATGGCTGCTTGGTTGGCTGGCTGCTTCACCGGAAACATGCCGTCTACGCTGTCAAAAAGTGCTAATTTGTCCGAAATGCGGCAAGCGAATTCGCATTGCCTTTAGCTGGAATCCTTTCTAGTCCGTTTGCAGTGAAGTCAAGCTCGAAATTATTTGCTTTCGTCGTATCGCTTGAGGTGAAGTGCAAATTGTATTGGAGACATTCCCATGAAAGTGTCGCCTTAGCCAAGGAGATGTCACGGCGACTGTGTTCATAGATATCATATATAATATACATATGTACATGAATATGTGTGGAGTTTCTAAATATATTTGCGTATTTCTTCAAGATCAATGTCAATGCCAAGATAATGTCATATTTTCAAATTCAAACAATTTTCAAAAATTATTTGTATTTAAATAGTGTTAAGATATGAAATACACCTTTTCATAATATTTAAATTGTGCTATATAAAGAAGAATTATTATCAAATAATAGCATTATATAAGATAGTATTAAGCAAGTAAAGTGTCATATTATTCGTTCATTATCCATCGACAGTTAAATTATTCTTGGTATATCTCAAAGGGAGCACTGTGGAAAGGAAATTGTCAAACTCTGAAGCTCCAGCTCCAAAACAGAGAAAAATATACTGTTTTTCTTTCATTTTTCACACCCTCGATGGGCTAAGATATAAGTATGTATATAATATATAGACTTGGGATATTGTAATCTACAGGTGAATAATGTCTTCATACATCAGCAACTATTTTCTTTTGGATCGCATAAAACAACAACAGCTTCCTTGACCATCATATAAAGACATTTAACGAAGTGATTTTTAAGAATTTGTATAATCATTTGATATTAAAAATTTATTTTGGATATTTATTTAAATTCCAAATTAATTTTTTTACGATCTCTGTTAATACATTGTGTATTCCAAATTTCGAATTGTAAAAGGTAAACGGACAGAAAGTAAGACGGAATCATCTGAATGCTGGATATCGCATAGAATCATCATACTCTTTCAACTATGTGAATAAATGGAGGACGTATGTATTTCAATATATAATATACGATTTCTATGGCATATTTTCAGTTGAGGTCATCATACTTACTTCATTAGGAATAGAAAATCCTTAATGTATTATATGTCTCACATAGCTTTATCAATAAATCAGAATTGAGATTCTTCTCAGATTATATTTTTTATTAACAATCATTGACCTGGCATTACCTATAATCTCAAATCCTTATATGCAATATTTATTTACCTATGAATCATAGGAAAATCAACATTTTCTACATTCGTGTCGACTTCCTGTAGTCACTGCCGACTTGAGATTAGGTTTCGGGGAAAATGCACAGCAGCAACTGTGATTAGAAGCAATTTTCGGTGCTGACAAGCACTAATCAATAGTACAGAACCTGCACAGACCCAAAATGTATAAATTTTCGGGCAACTATGGTGAGCAATCTGGCAAATAAACAGAAACTGGCAACTGCCAACTGGCCTGTATATGGCCAGCGGAATTTCGAAATTCCGAAACGGGCAATTAAGAAAAGCAACAAAATTTATGTTTCACCTGTCTGCATAAAATACATAAATACAAAATGCCAGACAATGCCAGCAAGAGCCAAGATGGTGGCTAATTACACGGCACAAAAAACGGCGTATGCCCAAAAAGAAACAGATCCAAACCCAGAGCCAACGCCAGTTGCAGTTGTAGTCCCACTCACAGTTCCAAAGACCCTCATGAGCAAATCGACACAAGAGGGAGAAATGAAAATAGCAACGGGCATTTTTCCAGCCGTCTGCCGACTACTTTGTCTTCTGCTTCTGCTTCTGCCTTTGCTGCAGACAGGCGCGCTGTGGAAAATCTCACTTCTGAATTACAAAGCATGCCACATTGAAGTCTGACTGACAGTGCAACAGAGCGGGATAGCGGAATGGCGGGATGGCGGGACAGCGGCAGAGGAAGCGCAAAAGCCAGTGGCGCAGAAAAACACTGCGGCTGATGAAAATCAACAGTGCTAAGCGTTAACTTCGCCACTAGCTGCGCAGCACGGTCCACACAATTGCTGCTGCTGCCTCGGCTTCTGCCTCTGCCTCTGCCTTTGCCTCTGTCGCCAGCAGCTTCGTTTTCCTCTCGCATTTTCACACAAAATGGCGCACGATCGTCGTCAGAGCGAGTGCGCCATAGTCAAAGTCTCAGTCAGAAGCACAGTCACAGTCTCGCTCTCAGTTGCAGCCGCAGCCGCAGTCAGCGTAGGCGTCTGCCCAGCCAGCCAATCAGGTTGCGCCGTCACTCAAACCGGTCGAGCAGGTAGCTGCTGCTGCAGGGCTCTGGAACTGGAACCGGCTACGACGCGCACGCAGCTAAGCAACCACTTCGCTCAGCTCAAGATCAGTTGGTTGCGAAACGTCGTGCGTGCAAGAACCCCGAACGTAGCGCTAAAGAAATACCCATTAGAAGTAAAGACAAGTCCAGCAAGTGGTCTATTTGTAGTGAAGTGAAGTACTCTGTTTAATTAATATTTGCAACATGTTGTCCATGCACGAGTTGATGGATATGCAAATGCAACAGCAGTTGGCCCACGAGATATACCGTCAGCAGATCATGCAACGCATTCCAGGTAAGTTGGCAATAGCTGAGTAGAAGGGTTAATCAACTGCCGACGGCAAAGGCTGAAGATGAAGAACCCTAAAAGCAAAAGTGAACCACCAAATATGATATTTTATTCAGAGTCCTATCCTCTATAATTTATTATTATAGATTAAAGTAATCTATCAAAAATGATATTTTATTCATTTAAATGCATATTTATATGTTTTATGTTTCATTCGGAATAATATTCTCTAACTGCACATTAAAACTAATGCATATATTTTGTAAAACTGATGCATATATTTACACTAAGGCATTTTAATTTACAATTCGCTCGAATATTTAACTGCTTCACATACATGCTAATAAATATACTTTTGCAATTCGGTTCAGACATAATTTATCTTCTGCATAAATCGATAAACAATTTTAGAACAAGTCGACAGCCAGCTAACGAACTAACCAAACAACTTCTAAGCAACACACGCTCATCACACACATATACATTCTAACCCACAGATCCCTTTCCGGCGATGCTGCCCCTGCACATGGCACAGCCGCAGCAAATTATGATGCCCAGACGGCCGACGTTGCCGGGCGTGGAGGCCAAGTTGGAGAACAACGAATTGTGGCAGCAGTTCCATCAGATCGGCACCGAAATGATCATCACCAAGAGCGGCAGGTAAGATTCCCGAGAATTGTGCCACATCCTATGCAAATAGGTGCGAGGTCGTCTATATACTCTAGAACTTGAAAAGTCAAGTGCATCGCGGCCTATGTCAATATTTGCCATGACCCAGCTCGCGCGCTCTCTCTCTCTCTCTCTCACTCTCGCTCTGTCTTTGGTCGTGGCCGTGGCCTAATGTGGCGCCTAGCGATAATTCAAAACGCAGCAGGAGTTCGCTCGTTGCGCCGGCGACGGACAACAGTGACAACAACAAGTGCGGCCGCAACCGCCGTCCTGGCGCCGGTTCGCTCATAAAACGAAAGAAAGAACAAAATCTGTGCCCAGATTTGACAATGCTGCGAGACGAAGATGCCGACATGCCCTGGTCTCTGGGACATAGGGCTCAGCTTGGCTGTCTACCTGCGTTTTCACACGTTTGCCCACAATGGATCGCTTTGTTGGCCCTCGTCGAGTATCTTATGCATATTTTCTGATAGCTACCGACTACCGATCGCTGTCCGCTCGAAATTAACATAATTATGAGTTGACCAGTTTGCGTGTGTATGTCTCTGTGTCTGTGTCTGTCTCTGCGTGTGTGTGCGTGGGGAGTAGATGCAGTGTGTCCACTTTCTCGGCTCATTAGGCATGCATTGACTGCTCGTAGCGCCACATTTGGAAGCCGTTAAGCTGCATGCCCGACAGATCAGATCTCAAATAATTGTTTGGCGCCATGCGCCGCGCTCCCTGCAATTAATCATAAGAAACTCAATAGAAGAACGAAAGCGTGCATTGTTTTGAGTCCGATATACCCGGTTTTGGGTATTTGTTTTCGTTACGTTACGTTTTAAATCGGTGCAGCGCTCGGTCGCTCGATCGCTCGCTCTCTGCCTGCTCCGCTGCTGTCCGCTGTTCATAATTACACACTTGTTAGGCTGGGCCACAAATCAAAGTGCCAGGCAACGCCTTCTTTGCGCTTAGAAAGAGGAGAGCACCTTGATTTATGTGACTACCTCAAACAAATACTGCTCACCTGAAAATGCATACCTATTGTGCCTTGGTCCACTTAATCAACTTCTATTCTTGTGGTTCCCTTGCAGACGCATGTTTCCCTCGATGCGCGTCTCGCTGAGCGGCCTGGAGGAGGACACCAGCTACTGCGTCCTGCTCGAAATGGTGCCCATCGGCGACTGCCGCTACAAGTTCTCCGGCTCCCAATGGGTGCCCGCTGGCGGCGCCGAGCCACAGAGCCCACAGCGCATGTACCTCCATCCGGACAGTCCGGCAACGGGCGCCCACTGGCAGTCGCAGGCACTGCTCTTCAACAAGGTCAAATTGACGAACAACACACTGGACAGCAATGGACACGTAAGTGACATTTGATCCTGTGACACAATTTCATGATAACTAATGAACTTTCATTCCTATTTCCAATCGAAACAGATTGTTTTGGCCAGCATGCACAAGTATCAGCCGCGTCTCCATGTCATCCGCAGCAGCGAGCTCACCCAGTTGCCATGGGCACCGCAGCAGGCATTCGTGTTTCCGGAAACGGAGTTTGTCGCCGTAACGGCCTATCAGGTGGGTAACTCATGAGACTCTTCATCTAGCTAGACCAATTCATGGCCAGCAGATAAATAAGATAACTGCAGCCGCGGGGGGTCAGCGACTAATTGTCGCCCGCATGCGCAAAATCCACTTGAGCCGTCGTGACAGACGTCGCTCATTGTTTGCTGCATTGACACCAGGGCTCAAGTGTTTTGCTGCATGTCTATGACTACTCCGTGACGCCAGCCAGCTCGAATTACAGTCTACAATAAGTCTAACCAAAATGTTGTCAATTTCTTCCCTTGCAGAACGATCGTATTACCAAGCTGAAGATCGACAACAATCCATTTGCCAAGGGCTTCCGCGAGTCCGGCCAGTCGCGCTGCAAACGCAAGCTGAACAGCAGCGCCAACTCCAGTGCTGACTCCGAAGATGACGTCTCAAGCGTGAGCAGCTGTGATTCGCCCCAGGCCAAGCGTCAGCGCGCGGACTTCGAAGTGGATTCGCAGCGCAGCTTGTCACCGGGCTACTATCCGGCAGCTGCTGGGCCACCATGCCTAAGTCCATCCTTGCATCCGTATCGGCAATCCGTTGGTTATGCACCGGCCGCAGCCTTTCTACCAGCGGACTATTTTGCTGCAGCGCCGCCGCCAATGACAACGCCGCCAGCACCTGCGATGGCTCCTGCAGCAACTTCACCAGCTACGGCAGCTGCTACTTCCAGTGCATCCACAGCATCTCCAGCAGCTAACACTCCGACCAGTTCGCCGCGTGCAACAACTTCCACGAAGCGCAATAGCTTCAGTATTTCGGCTATTCTGGCTTATTAGATGCAGATGCGATGGTGTCGCCCCCATTTAAGCTTTTGTTGTGATTACAGTGTGCAGTATATGAGCCTTAAGTTGTAATATGTTAATTAGTTTTAAGCGCAGCTTACAAATAAAGCAAAATTTCAATACAAAATGTTCGATAAGTCTTCTGCCTTAAATGTATCGAAAGGCGAGAGTCGATAGTTTGGTCAATCGATAGTCGAGTCAAGCAGGCTAAGCAGGCCCAACCTTCGGCGCTTCCGTTTTTACAGGTTTCGCAAGTCGAATCAACTTTGGCGGGCCGCAGAGCAAATTAATGTGCTCCATCAGCGCCGCCGCAAAGCCAGAGAGAACGGTCGCTCGAGCTGGCCTAAAACAAACTCCGGTAGTAGTTAAAACAATTCTCGCAGATAAGGCATCCATTATGAGCAGCGATTTGACGGCTTTGAAGGCGTTTGGTCTTTGCCGAACCTCTCGACTGTCGGCCGATGACGCAGAAGCTGCCGCTGCCGTTGCTGTGCATCTCTTTGCGGCTTGTGAAATTTTAGTTTTTTATCGCACCTTTTATGGCCGTTAGCCATTGGGAATCGGGAGTCGAGAGCAACTGGAAACTGGAAACTGGAAAGTGGGAAACGAATCGAGTGGTGTGGCCATGCATTATTATCGCGTCGAATGCGACAAATCTGTCTGTGGGACGGCGGCTGCCTTTTTGGCCTGCATAATTGCCCCGATAAGCCAGCGGGCGACATGAGTTGCCACGACGCATGTGTGAGGTCCATGCTGGGGAGGCCTGGCCAAACGGTGGCGCCAACCGTTTTCAGTTTAATAACTTTAATTAAGTTTTTTAGGCTAGGAATTCGAGTCTGATTACGGCTAAGTTCAAACAGCTTCTTGCCTTTTCCTCTTCAAATATTCATTGAAAATTTGGTTTCATTTATTCGTTCGTGATTTGATTTCATTCATACAAATCTTTGCATATTTTATGAACTCAATTTTTAGCTAGCGCGAAATAATTCACTGACTACAAGAAGTTTGGACGTTGTTTTCGAGCTGCTTTGGCTAATTTTGGCCCCTTTCATCTGTCTTGCTCTTAGTTTTTGTCACACAAATTTGGTTTTCAAATTTTGGTACAATTAAATTATGTGATTTGCACATTTTCACCCAAGAAACTGTTGGCAGCGGCAGCGCTTTGGAAGTGTTTTTTAAATGCTGAGCCTTAATTTGTTGGGTTTATAAATATATGTACATATTGTATATTGATTTTGTTGTTTTCTTGTTTAAAACAGTGGCAAAAAGCGTCAAAATTCGTAGATTATGCGATAAAAATGCAAATGTTTTCGCTCACGTTTCTAATTTGTGTTTGTTTTAATATACTTAATGAATTTTTATGTGTGGGCTGTGCTCTCTGTAATCCGGTTTTGCGGTCAAAGCTGTTGATAATGATAATTCCGATAATGATGCTATATTGTTTTTGTTTCTTCTTCTTTTATCTTTTGTAAAGGTGTTGCTCTGTTCGTACGTGATTGCTTGTTTTTATGTTACTAAATATAATATATGCAGATGATTCGACCATAAAACTGATGGCGTGCTTGGCTTAACGATATAACAACAAAAAAAACAAGAAATGAGCGAAATATTTAATTAAATTTGAGATTAAGACCAAACTGGTTATCGAAATTTGAATAATAGCGGAAATTCGAACGGGTGTGTGTGTCTCAGCTACACAGTCGATGTTATATTGGATGGGTGTGTTTCTTAGCTAAACATTCAAGAATGTGGTATAGAACAAATCAAGATGGAACTTGGTTGGTTCACAATGAATCGTAAGATGTTCGAACTATAATTAAAATGCTGATTTGAAGAAACTATACTGAATCATAATAATTTTCTAGCAACAAATTTGAGCGCAGTGTTACAGACATTTCTGATTAGCCAATTTACCATGCAACTTGCTGATATCTTTTTATGGTTTGTGTATTTACTAAACAAACTGTTTGATATGCTGATTCACCAGATGGCGCCACTTAGTTTAATATTTGAACATTCGTCGAGCTATTGCACCCTGTATAAAGCGACTGAGGTGCATTTTTAACAAATCTTATTTGGTTTATTTAAAATGCAGGTAATCAGGACATTATGCTGTCAGCTTGGACAGCTCCTCTTGCAGTTCGGACGTGTCGATGGGCGCCTTCGGCTGCTCCTTAGCCCCGGCCAGCACAGATGCCAAGAGACGGGGACAACTCTTCTTGTGCATGAACCAGTGCAGACGCTGGCACTCGCGGTCGCAGTACTTGACCGCCTTGCACTTGGAGCACTTCTTGTCGGGCTTCTCTTGGCCACACGTGCTGCAGTAGCTGCACTCGTCCTACGAAATGCAAAGACGGAGAATTAGCTGACAGGATTTCGAAGGATTTAAATTCAGACTCACCACAAATCCGCGCAATCCGTTGATGGCGTTGCGCAGGATGACGAGCGCAGGAGGCGCGTCCTTCGCGCCCAGCTGCGTGGCTATTTGGCGAAAGATGGTGCACTCGCGGTAGGGAAACTCTCGAGCGCATTCACGCACAGTATACTCGACGTAGTCCAGCTGGCCGAGTTTGTTCTCCTTGAGGACACGCTTTATGAACACCTCAACGAAATCGTTTTTGTTGGCCTCGCTGTCGTCGGCCTTCTCCTTGTGCTGCGCCTTGAACTGCTCCTCGCAGCGCATAAGCTCCCTGACGATCCATGCCAAGTAGTGGAATTTAAATGCGAGCAGCTCGTTTATGTCGTGGGTCTTCTGCATCTCCTTCTCGCACATCAGCGACAGAGCCTTGCGAAGATTCGGCAGTATCTTGAGGAGACCCAACGACTGGGCATTTAGCGTGATTCGAACGGGATGCAAATTGATTTCCGTAACAAAGCTGTGGAAAGACCGCAGAAGCACGGCTGGAATGTACGGCTCTGTTTGCTGGCCGTGCGGCTGTGTGTAGTACTCCAGGCTGGCGCGTGTCACATAGTTGTTGATGGTCTCCACACACGAGTGGTTGCCCACGAAGGCGGCCATCTGGGAGGCAGTTCGATTCACGCTGTTTATACTGTTCGGATTGATGCCCGCATCCAGGAGCTGGCGGCACACGTGCGTATTTCCGGACAATGCGGCGAAGTGGAGCGGCGTATAATCAGCGCCATGCTGGTTCAGATTAATGTCGGCCCCCTGTTAAGTTAATGTATTAGCGATTGCAATCACGCTCCGCACTCATTGGGCTGCCTTACCATGTCCAACAGCAACTGCACTGCTTCCTTGTTGCCTTTAAAGCTGGCGTGCGCTAGAATCGACATTCCGCTGTCGTCCACGAAGTTGACGCCGCCCTTCAGCTGGCCCAGCATTTGTTTGAAGCCGTTGGTGTCATTCTTTGATATACAATCGATTAGCTGTTGCTGCACTTCGTCCAGCTGTGACTTTTTGCCGTCTCCACTCATGTTTTTCGATTTTTATCAAGAAACTGGTTAACGAAAAAGTTGAGAGTGACAGTGTGTACACACTTCGAAACAGTCATCACATTTTCGATTGCTCAGTTTCCAACACTGAGACGATAGCCAACTTGTACGGTGTTCATAAAGAAATTAGTTGCACATGTATATCAATAAATAAATCATTACTTACTTATTAGATGTGTATATATTTAAATATAAATACATCAAAATATATTTATATATCAACAGATAGTTTCGTTTACTCTAATAATGCCTGTACATACCGTTTGTATTTTTCCTAAGCTGCGTACCAATTGTGAAGAACAAATTTGCTTTAGTTTTTTACCGATTTGGTCAGCCTGGCAGCACTAGGAAAGTAAAATTTAGTACGTTTTTAGCTGCCGTTGAGAGAGGTGGTTGCGCGTGTTGTGCGCCGTGTGAATTTTTGTGGTGCATGTTTTTATATTTTTTAAACACAAGCCTTGTGTGTTCGCTTGTGATGTTTGAAGCCTAAATGCATAAGAGCAACCATTAAATAAATTTAATAAAAGGCAGCGAATGCGATACGCGAGTTAACGATTAATCTCTGTGAAAAAGGTGATAAGCGCGCAATTGTCCCTGGTTGTGTGTGTTTGTTTTTTTTTTGTATTCGACGAAATTCATGTTTTCGCTGAAATTCCAATGCAGGAATAATCCACAAATCCACCCTAAAAAACCATTGAGAAATAACAAAACTGTGTGCATATAACAAAACAGATAAGCGCGCAAAATAGCAGCAGCAGCAGCAACTGCAGTTTGAAGTGCGTGACTAGAAGTTACCCAGTACTTCGATTGAATATTAATTTGAATGTAAATTAAGTCTCTATCACCCCAGCTCTATTGCCTGAAATGAAAGAAAACATATGTTTAATAATAATATGGCTTCTCTTAGTGACATATGTTGTAATTTATAGGCTGATATATACATGTCATCTACCCCTTTCTGCAATAGCTGCAGGGTATTCAAAAGAGAAGTGACAGCCAGATAAGGCGATGCAGATAAACAAAGCCTCATTGCGATGACGGTAACACAAATACATGTTCACATACATATGGGCGTGTGTGTGTGTGCAATACAATAAAATTATTAATAAAAGACTCGCGCAAACTTTTGGCTGCTTTTTCTTCTTTCTCGCCCTATTAACTGAAAGGCGAGTGGAGGGCGTGCGGATATCTAAAATGTTTACATGTGGTTGTGTGGCGAGGAAAATTGCCTTTTTCCTACTTGGCGTGAACATTGGCCTTGCGGTGATTGCATGTGTGTGTGTGTGTGCGTAGTTGTTTACTAATTTCGATAAGTTTTAGTTTCGCACCATTTCCTGCGCACAAGCAGCTCTCAACAGAACAAATACACACATGCCCCAGCACTCACACATGCACAGTGAGACACATGGCAAACAGCCTCGGTGCAGATCACCCCCCGCAATGCAAATGTCGTTGTTGCTGTCGCTAGCGTTTGTTAGCCTTCGCCCTCTCTTACTCTCTCTCCCTCTTTCTGTCTGTCTTTTATTCCGTTAAAAAGAACTGTTTACTTTGTCCACTATGTAATCCTAGCAGCTGTTGCTGTCACAATTTATTAACCCTTAGGAGATAGCACGCACAACAGGTGCAGTGCTTCAGCAGCAGCTGCAAATGCCTAATGAATCTCCCCAT